CGGCGGTGGGGGACGGTTGCATGAAGGTCATAGAGGGCCGCATGGAAGGTGTGACACTGCCACGGGCACCAGCGCTTGTGACAGAGGGGGTCCGGGGGCTGGAGGGGGTCCCCAAGCGGTTGTGGTGCTGCAAGGAGGTGGGATGGGTGAGACCTCACCTGCAGTGCGGCGTCTGGCGCTGGAGCCATCAGCACAAGAAGGACGTGGACCTGTTGGAGCGGGTCCAGAGGAGGCCACGAAGGTGGTCAGAGCGCTGGAGCACCTCTCCGATGAAGGCAGTTGGGGTTGTTGAGCCTGGAGAAGAGGAGGCTCTGGGGAGACCTTATAGCCCCTTCCACTACTTGATGGGGGCCTACAAGAAAGCTGGAGAGGGACTTTTTACAAGGGCATGGAGTGACAGGGTGAGCGGTAATGGCTTCAAGCTGGAAGAGAGTAGGTTTAGATTGGAGATCAGGAAGAATTTTTTCACTCTGAGGGTGGTGAGGCACTGGCCCAGGTTGCCCAGAGAAGCTGTGGCTGCCCCATCCCTGGAGGTGTTCAAGGCCAGGTTGGATGGGGCTCTGAGGAACCTGGTCTAGTGGAAGGGGTCCCTGCCCCTGGTAGGGAGCTCAAACTAGATGATCTTTAAGATCCCTTCCTACCCAAACCATTCTATGATTCCATGACTGGTGCTGCTGCTGGGTCAAGCAGGCATGCTGTTGCCCCTCTATGGCCCACATTGCCATTGATCAACACGTCCCTCACTAGGTCGTTGCACAAGGTCAGTCACTTGGTGCCCTTGGTGCCCACCCACATGCTGGAACAGCCTGACAGGAACAAGCCACTGGCCCTGCATGGCTTTGCAGTGGACTCTCCTCCCATTCCCAGAAGCCACATCACCACCACCAGCCTGGTAACCCATCATGAGGTGCTGCCACAAAGCGCCAGGGTGGGCCGCCAGTGAACACGCTCCCACCTGCCAGCAGCCCTGAAATCACCAGCCCTGCAGGATAAAAAAAAGCCCCAAAGCACTTTGCTTGGAGACAGAGAGACAGAGGATACTTTGGGATGACTTTAGCCTGATTTGTTTATAAATATGGAATTTGCCTCCAGAGCTTGCAACTTGGCATCTTTTGCAAGACCTAAATATACTACTAAAAGGCGTGAACTGTTTCGATAATAAAGGCTTTTAGAACTCACTTGTGAAAATTCATGTAAAGCCATACTTGGGCAGAGCAAGTGAGACCACGTGGTGTTTCGGCATGAGCTGGTTCACAGTACGGCAGGTCAACGCCTAGAGCGAGAAGTGCTGAGAAGCGGTCAGTAGATATGGAACAGCTAAAACTACCTTCTACTAACATTGGTCCTGACATGGTCCATTAAAGAGCTTGTTTCCAGTAGCTTCACCAGTTTTTAATGCTTGGGTTGGAATTTTCTGGATCACACTTCTGCATAAGGCCGAACAGAAAATGTAATCCATGAGAGTTTTTCTGGTTTTAAGAATAAGGTTCTGCCACATACAAAACTTAACTTTGAATAACTTTTACTCAAAATGTTAAAATTTGTCAGCAGGTAGCTTTCTAATGTTTACAGAATCATCTGCAAAAAGCCTGATCATGTCATAAGGGTTTGTGAGTCCATATTCAGGAAATTCAGGAAAGATTTCTGAAGCTCAGTAGCAGAATTCCCCCCAGATCCCATCCATCAGAGGCATGCTCAGCTCAAGACTCAGCAAGATTTTCACTGTAACTACAACTCCAAGTTGCTGCCGACTGGACCAGGAATAGATAGCTACAAGGAAATAGAAATAGCTACAGGTTGCATCCCACAGATAAAGGACATTGTAGGCTTTGTGCTCTACACGTCTGGACCATAAGCACATAAGACCACTCACTAAAGATTATTGATTAAATTACTACAGTATAATGATTTAATATTAATACCAGAAATCAACCGTCCATGCCCATCCAGGCCAGGATCTGTGCAAACGCACAGCAAGGTGTAAACCCTGCAAAGTCTTTGCTCATGCTCTGCACAGAGATGAATGTCACTGTGATAGTTCAGCTCAGGATGATAATTAGGGCCTTCAAATTGTGGAGACTGTAAGGAAATCCAAAAGCACATACTTTGCAAATTATGACAGAGGTCTGGTCTTGTCCCAGATGTTGTCCTCTCCAGATCCTGAGCAGAAGCCTTCTGGTCCTACAGAGCACTGGACCAGGCTCCTGTCAGAGTATTTCTTTTCTTTCATGGCCAGCATCACTGAGGAACCTCTGGAGACCATCCTGTCCACCCCTCCTGCTTAAAGCAAGAACAGAGTCTGGCTCTGAGCCTCCTGAACCTTCTCCAGGCTGAACAATCCCGACTCTGTCAGCCTCCATCAGCCTCTCCCCGTATGGCAGATGGTCCAAGCAAGAAAGTGCAATTACAGTTTTTTTTTACTTTCAATATATTACAGATTATATCACCTGGAGTGATTTGACCATCCAAAGAGATTCACAGACTCTTCCACTGAATGCATTATTTGAACTACTCTAGCTCCTCTGTCAGCAAAATGGCTATTTTCAACTGAGGGACGAGGAAATATTAAAAAATAAAAAGGAAACATTGCATTGTGACCTCATAGAAATGGCATTGTGGTTTTCCACCTTTGTCTGGTAGTTACTAAGCGATATGAGAGCTCTTTGTTGAAAACCAAAGTGATGTCTTTCATAGCTTGTAAATGCATTCTGTGATCTGAAAACCAAATAATTTTCACACGCATCAACATTAGGTATGAATATCCTGGCAAAACACTACCTTAGCAACACCTAGGCAGGTCCTCTGACTTAAGAGAATGTCTTAAGCAACACTTCACAAACACACTGTTGTTAAACCTCCAGGATCACTTGTGCAAACCCATGGAAAGTGTGGTTACACAATGAAAAATAAGATTGCAAATAGGGTTATCTGCTTGCCCGGCATGTCTACTCACTTGAACACACTGAGAGCATGCTCGCAGAGTTTAATATATTAACTTTAGTTGGTTATACTTGAATACTCTTCAGAGTAACATAGCTAAGGGGCAATGAGGTGAAATACATTCCTTCTTGTGCATTACTACCACTGTAAAAGACCTTTCATGTAACTGCAAATCTACCGATAACTAAACAGAACTAAACTCTGCTGGAGACACTCCATGTAACCCAGAGAACGCAGCTCAACATTGCCAGCACTGGCAGTTGGAGCCACTTTTCCACTAGAAGGCTTTTAGTTGTGAGTACCAGGAGCGAGAACCTGCGACAAGTGAGCAGATGCGTCTTTTACCTTACGACTTTTCAGGGTAGAAACACATTTTACGCAACATCTTTCAGTGGCACCATCTGAGAATTTTGGCAGTGTGGAGGAGGGAGATGTGCAGAGAGATGTTGAATCTCTCAACACCCTCCTTGGCATTACATTCAGTAACTTCAGTTTCCTCCTTGAGACTGAACGAACTAGCCCTGTCACCACTTAGGGTCAGTATGCCCTGTTTTGGTCTGAAAACACTGCTTTGCAAAATGTCTCTTTCACAAACAGACAAACTACCTGGAGTAGATTTCCATAGCAGGATGCTCTATGGAAAAAAAATGGATGCCTAAAGCCTCCAGCAAGATCCTAAAAGAGAACATTCTCTATGGACAGTGTTAAAGCAAACCCAACTGAATACAACAAATCAAAGGGTAACATACAGATTTTCTTATGGAGCAAATACAGTCTGACATTCCCACCCACGCAGAGCAGATCAGTGACTGGCAATAAGACAAAGCAACAGCATGAGCAACACGAGACTCCAGAGAAATAAACAATATATTTCTTCTGTCAACAAAAATATATGCCTGTTTTTATTCTTTTAATAAGACTCCCACGATATATTATTTTCTATTTCCAGTTAAACAAATTAGAGCAGAATTACTGTTTTCATTATCAGTTTACACTGAAGATTATTGGCTGTCGTTAAGAAGCATAATATTTGTAATAGGGCTTGGGCATAACTTTTCACTGTGTTGTAAATTCTGCAACTTGTAAGAGAAATGTCAGTCACAGAGAAGT